AGATAGGGAAACAAGCAGAGAGTTGGGGACCTCATACCACCAAGAAAGCAGCACCAGGAGCAGAGCGTGTCCTTTGGACCAGAGGTTCTTGCACTGAGATGCTCCCAGCCCAAGGGAAGACTGATGACAAGGACCTTCCTCCAGAGCCGAGGACAGAAGGCCTTCACCTGGAGTTGATGCCCTGAATTTGGACTTTTAGCCTACTGGACTGTGAGAGAATAAACTTCTCTTTGTTGAAGCCATCCACTTGTGGTATTTCTGTTACAGCAGCACTAGATGCCTAAGACAGACCTACAGGGGAGAAAAAAAAAAAAAAAAAGACTGTTTTGCTATTTGAATTTCCAGCAAGCAGTTAGCCTTTGTGTGCGCTGAGGCAGGAAAAGTCAATGCCCATCAGAAAAATTCCCTTCCAGGACTGAAAGTTAAAGGAAGCCTGTGAGTAGTCAGCTTGGTTTGCTCGCTTGTAGTGACCACCTGCGTCCACTCATGAGTGGAAGTTGGGGAAGTGCAGCAATAAAGAGATGGCCTGAGTCTGGACATGTTACTTTGGCACCCATTGATCTAGCCCACAGGGTCTAGTGATGAGAGTGAGAGGAAGCTGGCTGGTCAGTAGTGCAGGAACTTGTGTGGACTCCTGAGTTTACAGGTGGAGCTTGTTGACTTAGCCCAAGGGGGCTGGAGATGAGAGACAGATAAGGGCCTATCCATTGTGACCTAGCTTGGATGGCTAGGGATGAACTGACCAGAACATGACAGAATGAAGAGAAAGATGTTTGACACTATGAGATGGCGTAAATTGCTGCAATTTGATGGCTTGCTTTGGACTGGACTTTGCTTATGCATGCAGATGCTCAAAGTTCCAACCAGAAGATTCTTCAAGACCAAGGAACATGCTTGTCTCCTCAGTACTGGTTTGATAGGGATGGGCAATTTAAACAGTGACTATCTAAAATAAAGGGAGATAAATGAAGTGGCTGGCTTACATGCTTTCATGGGTGTGCTTACACTCAAAACTGAGGGGGACAAGGGAGGATCCCCACTGAACAGAGTCCTCTTTTCCTGATAGGTCTAGGGAAGAGGGTGGGGGAAGATGCTGATAGTATTATATGATTCAGCTGTGAGTAATGATTGTTAACAGGGTTGTGATTGTAAAAACTGTCATTATAGAAGCTGTAACTGTGAAAGTGTGGACTAAGGGGGAGGCAATGCTGGACTGGAGACAGTGGCCAAATTTAAAATCCCTTAAATGCTTTGCTATGCTGATACCTTGTGAGGCTCAGAGCAAGGGAATAATCTTCTCTGTTAAATTTCATCAGACACCAGGAAGGGTGAAGCCAAGATGACTTTTGGAGAACCTGACCAGATCAGGTAGACACGTGCAGCAGACTGGAATGGCTAGTACCTGAGTAACCTCACCCTGAGATGCTTTGCCCTATTGAAGAGCTAATTGTTAATGACTGTTTTGGACTGGTAAAATGATTGGGAGGAGGAAGTTATCCTTCACTAAGTACCCAGAGGCACCCTACTCCTCCAGCAAGCCTCTTGCCTGAAGGCACTCATCTTTCTCACTGCGTGGGCTGGGAAGCCCACCACACCGTCTCCTGCTGGTCTCCTGCCAGTTTCCTTGTTCTGCTGCCTTTACTGCTGCTGTTTCTCTGCTGCTCGCCTTCTCACCAAGACTTACAGGCGGAGTAGAGTGCCTTGGGGTACTTATTGGCAGAGCTAAAAGAGCTTTGTAACACTTGCCTGAGGGCAGAGGCTGAAGGGGCAAAGAGAGGTGTGCCTGCGGCTGAGAAGAGGTTGTCCTGATAGAAGAACTGTATCATGGGCTTTCCTGAACTTGAACTGTAACCTGTTACTTCCCTAATAAAGCCCAAAAGCATGAGTATGGTCTGAGTTCTGTGTGGCCATTGCAACGAATTACTGAACTCAGCAGAGAAGTAGAGAATGCCACTGGAGGGACGGTTGGCGTCAGAATTGGTAAACATGGTGGGGAGAGGAGGCACGTCTGACTTCTACATAGTAGGAATCAGCCTTGGGTTGTTGATCTTGATTCTCCTTCCCCCTTGTGAAATTGGAGGAGCTCAGACGATGCCCTTGCCATGCCCTTTTTACACATAATTAACATAATATATTAATATATTATTATTACAGCCATAAAATGAATGAAGTACTGATACATGCTACAATATAGATGAACCTTGAAAACGTTGCTGTTGTTGTTAATTGTTGTTGAGTCTATTCCCACTCATAGCGACCCCATGTGTGCAGAGTAGGGTTTTCAAGGCTATGACCTTTCAGAAGCGGATTCCCAGACCTGTCTTCTAAGGTGCCTCTGGGTGGGTTCAAATCACCAAACTTTTGGCTAGTAGTTGAGTGCTTAACCGTTTGCACTACCCAGGAACTCCTTTGAAAACATGCTCAATGAAAGAAGCCAGACACAAAAGGCCACATTTTGTATGATTCCATTGACATGAAATGCCCAGATTTGGTAAATCCATAGAGACAGAAAGTAGATTAGTGGTTGCCAGGGGCTGGGGAAGGGAGGAATGGGGAGTGTCTGCTAATAGGTATGAGATTGGGGTTTCTTTTGGGGATGATGAAAATGTTCTGGAATAAGATTGTGGTGTGGTTATCATTGCATAACTATGAATATACTAAAAACCACTGACTTGAATTGTATAGCATGTGAATTATATCTCAATGAGGCTATCATTAAAAAAAAAAAAAAGCAAACAAAAATAATCTAATGGAGTGATGTCACCAACAACAGCAAAATAGGGAACTCAGAAGTTCTGCGTGCCTCTACTAACGCAATGATTAAGCTGGCAAAAATGGTCAGAATCAACTTCTTTGGAACTCTGAAATCTAATAAAAAAACTTACAGCAGTCAGAGGTGTGTTTAATGAATAAAGAAGCTTCTAAATTTTGGCAAATTCTTAATGGAATACAGAACTTCTGGAGCCACTGAGGCTGCATGAACCCCAAAACTATTGCCTTGGAATAATCTTTAAATTTTAAACCTCAAACCAAAATTTTTCCTGGAAGCCTGCTTTGAACCAAACAACTAAAACAAACCATACCCATTGGTGTCGATTCTGACTCATGGTGACCCTATGAGACATCATAGAACTGCCTCATAGGGTTTCTAAGGCTGTAATCTTTACAGAAGTAGATTGCCACATCTTTCTCCTGTGAAGTGGGTTTAAATTGCTGACCTTTCCATTAGCAGCTGAGCACTTAACCACCGTGACACCAGGGCACCTAACTAAACAATAGTTTAGCTTAATTAGTAAAGTATGTCTGCCTTGAGCATTGTACTTTTTCAAAGATTTATCTGTGTGGGATCAAACTGACACCAGTATCTTGAAAGGTTAGATGAGAAGCTTGGGGGCAGCGACTATACCTTGATGGTGGTAGACTAATTTGGAAAGGGATAGCGGGAATGGTTACACAACCTGAAGAATGTAAACAATGCCACAGAATTGTATGTGTAGAATTTGCTGAAAGGGTATATTCTTTGCTGCGTACATTTTCACACACACACACAAAATTAAAAAAAAGAATGTAGCAGTATTTTTACTTATCTATCTACCACCTCCAACTCCTCAGCTCAGCTGTGGCAGTGGGGACAGCGGCCTGTGTTCCTGGTGTGGCTTGTTGATGCCGGGGGGACAATATGGACATTGTTCTCAAAGAATTGTGGTTGTGCTTTTTGACCTATTGTTAGTTGCCATGGAGTCAGTTCTGACTCATGGCAACCCCATGTGTGCAGAGTAGAACTATGCTCCCTAGAGTTTTCAATGCTGTGCCCTTTCAGAGGCATCTCTGGGTGGGTTTGAATCGCCAACCTTTCGGCTAATAGTTGATTATAATTAACATCATATTATGCTATATTATTATAGCCATAAAAAGAGAATGAAGTATTGATGCTACAGTATAGATGAACCACCCAGTGACCTCCTTCTGACCTAACCTTAATGTTGTTAATATGGTGGTAAGGGTTGAACTGTGTCCCCTAAAAATATGTGTTATATATCCTAACCCCTATACCTGGGGTCTGAGACAGACACCTCAAGTTCTGTGAAGGGAAGCGGGACTTCTGAGGCCTTGGGCGCTGACACCCAAACCACCTAATAAATGATCAAGAGAGAGTCGCTAAATAAATTAATCGGGGGGAGGGGGGAGGCTGGAGGGGTTTGTGGGAGGAAAGGATTGAGCAGGGGTTGCTCACTAATGAAGGGATAGATAAATGAGTTGGGGAGGTGGAACGTGGGCGAGTGGGTCCCGGGGCTGCTGGGCGAGTGGGAGAAGGGCGGTTGGGGCCGGTCGGAGAGGGATCTGAAAGGATACACCCGGCTGGGGCTTTCTGCCCCAAACTCAAGGGAGGTTGCCAAATGCCCCGGCCCACTCCCCACATCGACCTCAGCACCTCCTGAACTTTACGATTCCCTTCTCCTCTCCGGGTACGCCGGAGGACCTCGGGACGCCAGCCTGGCCCTGCCGCCAGCCTCGCGCAGCGACCACATGCGCGTTCTCTACCGCGAACCCCAGAAAGCCCCTGCAGACTTGGCGCCCGCCATCCGCCCCGGGGTCCCTCCTGGGGACTGCCGGCCCAACGGGCGCACTGACGGCCGGAGGGACCAAAGGCCGGACGGACCAACGGGTCGCGGCGGACTTACCGCGCGCGGGGTCCGCTCGGGTCAGGGCCCCTCGGTCTTGGCGGCCTCTCAGCATGAGCGAGCGCCCGGTAGCCGCCTGACCGACTGCAACTCCCGGAACCCCGCGCGCCATGGGCTGTAGCCTTTGGCCAGTTGGGGAGAGCGGGCCAGCCCTCCTGCGTCAGGAGCCGCAGGACTTCCTCGCAGGGGCGGGGTGGTGACGAACACGGATCCCCAACCAATAAAAAGCTGCCTGAGCTGGGTCGCCCCGCCCCCGCAATTTCCTAGAGTTACTCTGGAGTCGGGATTCGGTCGCCATGGCAACTGCCCACGCTGTGCCTAGAGCGCTGCAAGAATGGGGTGCAGAATGGGACATCGTCTGCTGCGCAGTCCCAAGGACAGCTTTAGCTCCCTCTACTTTGCCTCGGGTTGCCAGGCAAAATCCCAGGAAGCCTAGTTAAATTTGAATTCCATCCAGATAAACAATGAATGATTTTTTTTTAAATATAAGTGAGCCCCATATTTAGTATATTCTAAAAATGTTTGAACCTTGAAGACATTATGCTGAGTGAAATGAGTCAATCGCAAAACGACAAACACTGTATTATCTTATTTATATGAAGTAAGTAAATATATTGTTGTTAGGTGTCAAGATGGTTCTGACTCATAGCGACCCTATGTACGACAGAATCTGAAACACTGCCCCGTCCTGTGCTATCCTCACAATCATGGCTATGTTGAGCTCACTGCTGAAGCTACTGTGTCAAACCATCTCATTGCGGACCTTCCTCTTTTTCGCTGACCCTCTACTTTACCAAAGCAAATAAACAGAAACCAAAAATTGTTAGTGGTTACCAGTGGTGGGAGGAGGGGAGGGGATGTTTTTGCTTAGGGGGCAGTGAGTTTATATTAATGGCGGTGAAATGATTTGGAAAAGAGCAGCAAGAATGGTTGCACAATTTGAAGAATGTAATCAATGTCACTGAACTATGCATGCAGAAATTGTTGAATTGGTGTATATTTTGTTGTGTGTATTTTTATCACAATAAAAAAACTTAAAAAAATTAGAATATTTACTATAAGTAATGTTCAGTATAACCATGTCCCATGTCGTTGTTGTTAGGTGCCATCGAGTCGGTTCCGACTCAGCGACCCCATATGCAACAGAACGAAACACTGCCCAGTCCTTTGCTGTTCTCACAATGGTTGTTATGCTTGAGCCCATTGTTGCAGCCACTGTGTCAGTCCATCTCACTGAGGGTCGTCCTCTACCAAGTGTGGTGTCCTTCTCCAGGGACTGGTTGCTCCTGATAACAGATCCAAAGTACATAGTCTCACCATCCTTGCTTCTAAGGAGCAGTCTGGCTGTACTTCTTCCAAGACAGATGTGTCCCATAGTATTTGTATATCCCAGAACTGGGTTGTCAGATTTAGAAAATAAAAATACAGACTTTTGCATTTCAGATAAAGCAACAATTTTTTTTAGTATGTGTGTCCCATATTTAGTATATTTTTAATAATTTTTATATAAGCATATTTAATATAAGTATTTTGACATATATCTCTAAGTATATCCAATAGTATATTTGGGTCATACTTATACCGCATAAAACCCATTGCCATCAAGTTGATTCCAACTCGTAGTGACCCTATAGGACAGGGTATAACTGCCCCATATGGTTTCCCAGGTGCAGATGGTGGATTTGAACCGCCAACCTTTTGGTTAACAGCTGAGCTCTTAACTGCTGTGCCAACAAGGCTCCTATACTGTATACTAACACTAAATACTAATAGTATACCTGCAGTGCTTGGCTGCTAATCAAATGGTCAGCAGCTTGAATCCACCAGCCGCTTCTTGGAAACCCTATGGGGCAGTTCTACTCTGTCCTATAGGGTTACTATGAGTCGGAACTGACTTGACAGCAACAGGTTTTGTTTTTGGTTTAAGTCTCAATAGTATAATTGAGACATACTTATTTGGCTATACTGAGTACTAATACTAAATTAAGTAGTAATAGTATATTTTAGTATAAGTATGTCCCAACAGCATATTTGGGACATGTTGCTGCTGGTAGGTGCCGTGGAGTCGGTTCTGACTCATAGCGACCCTATGTACAACAGAACGAAACACTGCCTGGTCCTGGGCCACCCTCACAATCATTGTTACATTTGAGCCCATAGGTTTGAATTTCTTTTAAGTGTATACCTAAAAGTGGAATTTGTGGACCATGTGGTAATTCTGGAGCCCTGGTGATACAGTGTTTAAGAGCTTAGCTGCTAACTGAAAGGTTAGCAGTTCAAACCCACCAACCACTCTACAGGAGAAAGATGTGGCACTCTGCTTCTGTAAGGATTATAGCCTTGGAAACCCTACAGGGAAGTTCTACTCTGTCAAACAGGCTATAGTGTGGCCCATCCCAGCACTGGTAGCTACTCACAATTCATAAATAAATTAATACATTTGCAATGTTCATAAGAGTGCTGCCACATAGGGCTCCTCCCTCCATGTAGCTGGTAGTGCTAAGATCACATTATAGATGTGGGTTCTGTGTCTCCCACAGACATGAAGTGGTGTTTTCTCTGCCCAATGGACCAGTACACCAGTGGTGCCAGAGACCAATGCCTGCCCAGGACTGAGAACTTCTGTCAAACACTAAGAGTCAGAATCGATTTAACAGCAGCGGGTTTTTTTTAATGGTAATTCTATGTTTAATTTGTGAGGGATTGCCAGAATGTTTTCCAAAGTGGCTGCACTATTTTACATTTTCACCACCCATGGATTAGGGTTCCAAATTTTACACATTTTCACAAAAACCTGTTATTGTATGGTTTTTTAAAAAAATTATAGCCTAATAAGCATTTTTCAAACTTTTTTAATTGTGAAAAATTTCAACAATACATAAAAAGAGTCAATGACCATCCTGTGCCCACCATCTTGATCCAACATTCGTTACTGTTTTGCTGAAAGTGCTTCATTTCTCTCTTGTTCTGTCTTTTAAGTCCCTTTGAATCCACCGGAAAACAATGAGCCCAGACTCTGTGGCCCTAATGTCTTCAGCCAGGATTGGCTTTGAGGCCTTGTGGTGACCACCTGGGAGACACCTACCTTGGAGCTCTTCGCTCTGCCTGTCCCACCAAACCTGGCATCGACTCCTCAGGTGGGCTGGGGTGTTCCACTTGGGCCTCAGCAGGATGATGTAGCACTTGGGCAGGAAGATACCACACAGCAGCCCTGCAGTGGAGGCCAGAATGGAGAAGCTCTCCACAGCCACAGTGGCCTTGCCATGGGTACTGGGGTACAGGGGCAGGAAGGCCATCCAGGTGCTGCAGAAGAGCAGCATGCTGAAGGTGAGGAACTTGGTCTCATTGAAGGCATCAGCAAGACCCCTGGCAAGGAAGGCCAACAAGAATGTGCCCGTGGCCAGGAGACCCAAGCAGCCCAGCACATAGGAGAAGGCAACCCTGGAGCCCTCGTGGCGGGGCTCGGAGGCTCGGAGGCCGTGTCCCTGTGTGGGGACGGCGAGGAGGTACCCACAGACCCCACGGAGAATCACTTGGACCAAGGAGGCTGTGAGGATGACAGAGGTGGAGACGCCAGGTCCCAGGCACACCTACACCCTGCCCCCTGGCCTGGTGACCCTGAAGGCCAGGACCACGGTGAGAATTTTTGTCAAGACGGAGGAGACAGCCACGGTGAACAAGACAACAAAAGTGGTCTGGTGGAGGAGGCAGGTGGCAATGGTGGGAAGGCAGAGGAAGAGCAAGGGGCAGATGGCAGAGAGCCAGGGAGGCCAGGAGCGTGTAGCTGAGAGCCCTGTTGTTGGCCCTGATCACTGGGGTATCCTGGTATTTCAGGAACACCATGAGGACCAGCAACGCCAAGCTAGCTAGTGTGAGTGCCACTGAGGTCAGTGTGAGCCCCAGGGGCTCATCAAAGGCCAGGAAGTTCTCAGTCCTGGGCAGGCATTGGTCTCTGGCACCACTGGTGTACTGGTCCATGGGGCAGAGAAGACACCATCTCATGTCTGTGGGAGACACAGAACCCACATCTATAATGTGATCTTAACACCACCAGCTAGATGGAGGGAGGAGCCCAATGTGGCAGCACTCTTATGAACATTGCAAATGTATTAATTTATTTATGAATTGTGAGTAGCTACCAGTGCTGACATGGGCCACACTGGAGCCTGAGGCATGAGGAAATATGTGTGCCCCTATATACATGATTTTATGTTATTATTATTTTTAAAATTTCGTTCCGGTGAAAATATACATAGCAAAATATACGCCACCTCAATGATTTCTACATATACAGTTCATAACACTGATTACATTCTTCAAGTAGTACAATCATTTTTCAAGTAGTACAAATCATTCCACCATCATTAACATAAACTCAATGCCCCCTAAGCAAAAACTTCAACTTTCCCCTCCCTCTCATCTCTGGTAACCAACAATAATCTTTTCTTTCTGTGTATTTGCTTATTTCATACAATATTTGTCCTATGGGTGCTTTTTATTTAAATGGCTAATTTTCCCAAGTATTAGTAGTAGCTATTCTTATTAACAAATCTCACCAATTCTGTCACCCGTCCTTTTTTGAGTCACAAGAGATACCATCACACCCCTGCCAGAATGGGTTGAAATGAAAAATCCGGACAACCTCAGGGCTGGTGAGGATAGGGACTGTGCTAGGCTGGATAATGGTGCCCAAAGATGTCCACGTCCCACTTTCTGGAACCTGTGAATATGTTATGTTACATGGCAAAAGGGATATGGCAGATAGAATTAAGGTTGCTAACGAGCTGAACTTAAAATTGGAAATACCTGGATAACCTGAGTGGCCCAAAGTAATCACATGATCCCTTAGAAGTGGAATGGGTGTATCTCATATCTCTAGTGCTGGTATAACAGAAATACCACAAGTGGATGGCTTCAACAAACAGAAATTTATTTTCTCACAGTTTAGGGGGCTAGAAATCCAAATTCAGAGCACTGGCTCTAGGTGAAGGCTGTCTCTGTTGACTGTAGGAAAAGGTCCTTGTCTCTTCAGCTTCTGTTTCCTGGTTCCTTGGAGACCTCTTTGTGGCTTGGCATCTATCTTCCCCAATCTCTGCTTGCTCACTTGCTTGTTTAATCTCTTTTATATCTCAAAAGGGATTGACTCAAGACACACCCTACACTCATCCTGCCTCATTAACATAACAAAAACAATCCATTTCCAAATCAGATTATAACCACAGGTATAGAGGTTAGGATATACTACATACATTTTTGGGAGTCATAATTCAATCTATACAGGAATAGAAAAAAGGAAATGTCCTTCAGTGGATGAATGGATAAACAAAATGTGACATATTCAGACAATGGATTACTACTGAGCCATAAAGAGAAATGAAGTTCTGATGAATGCCACGACATAGATGAACCTTGAAAACATTATGCTGCGTGAAATAAGCCAATTGGAAAAGGACAAATACTGTATAATCTCACTTATATGACAAAAGCAAAAATATAGAAACCAAAGATTATTACTGGTTGCCAGGGGTGGGACAGAGGGGGAAAGGGAAAGTTTTTGATTGGGGGGCATTGACTTTATGTCAATGGTGGTGGAATTATTTGGAAAAGGTCAGCGATAATGTGGCACAACAAGAAAAATGTAATCAATGTCATTAAATTGCAAATGTGGAAGTTGTGCTTGTGAATATTTTGGCTTGATTATTTTCACCAACATTAAAAAATACAACATAACAAAATAGAAGTTTGCCTAAGCACAATTCTTAGAATGACTTTTTGGCCAGCCCCCTTCTACTCCATGGCAGCTCCCACTCCCAAAGCCCTGAGGCCACAGTGACTCACTGGATTGGGATTTTGAGGTGCTGGAGGTGCCTTGATGGCCTCTGGGATTCAGCCTCTAGGAGCCCTCACCCGTCTGGTTTGCAAACTGGCCCGTGGGGCAGGGTCTACGTTTGAAAACAGCAGTGGGGGGCACCCTATTGGGAGATCTGGCTGAAGCCTGGAGTGCAAATTGTGCTGCAGACAGAGCTGGGGACCTGAGGACAGAGGAGCAGAAGGGTCATCAGTGACCAGGCTGGATCAAGTCTGTCCTGACCCAGAGCGGTGGTGCCGGTTTGCTTCCACACACAAAAAGATGAGGCCCTTTTGGGGAACAATCTCAGTGATATCAGAGAAGAAAGAATGTATGTGACCCACAAAAGTACGTTGTTCTTGTTGCATGCTGTCGAGTCGATTCTGACTCAGAGTGACCCCATGTGACAGAGTGGTGCTTCCCAATAGGATTTCTTGGCTGTAACATTTGTGGCGCCCTTGGGTTGGTTCCAACCACCAAACTTTCGGTTAGCAATTGAACAGTTAACCATATTGCCACTAGGGCTCTTTCCGCAGGAACATAAATAAGATAAGCCTTGGGAAGACACCACCCGGCTCCCCTGTCTCCTTGGCTCCCCTCAGCCCCTCATTGAGTACGAGAAAGCTTAGTAACACGGGGTCAAATTGCACTTGTCAGTGTCTCTCTGAGGTTCCTACATTGAGACCTGCAGAGGTTGCTCCTTTCACACCCCCATTGTAAACCCTCCCATCTGTGCAGGACTTGCAAAGAGATCTTTCTGCCTTCCTCAGCCCACCTCTCACCTCCAGGCAGTAGTGATGGGAGGAAGCCTGGGGATTTGAGAGGAGTGTGGGAGGCTGGGCTTCCTCTACCTGTACAGGAGAGTAGGGTGCCTCCCCAGCTAAAGCTAATTGAAAAGAACTTCAAGAGGATCCTCTGAAAACTTGGCCTGTGTGCCCTGGATTTGAGGGGTCCAGAGACAGAAGCCAGACTCTAAACGTCAACACCGACTACAGGTGCCTCCCAGAACACAGGAAGGCAAGGTTGCTGTGGAGAGGACTGAACCTCCACTTGGGTGGCCAGAGGGCCAGGGTGGGGGTTGCTTTGGGCCAGGATGGAAACCTGGACAAAGATGTCCCAAGATTGCAACTACATTTGCTAATAAACAAAATGAAAACACCTGTCCTGCCCACCTACAAGGTGCTTTATGGGAACACATTTGGTGAAGTGTAAATACTGTCTTCCCAGGTAAATCATTCACTTTTTCACTGAGTAGGTCTCTGACTACAAACATGAAGAGGAATGCTGTAGTGGAAACTCCCAATGTAGACTGTACTTCGATTTCTGTGGCTCTGATAGTTTCATTTCTGATAGTGAGTAAATGCCTTTTCTCCCCTCAGGGAAGCGTCTAGAGACTCAACAGAATGGCTGAGGTATAAGTGGAACAATTTAGAACCTCACCTATTTCATAAGTTCAAGAGGAGCTTGAACCATTGGCCTCTGACTTTGTCTCTGATTCTAACATCCCAGGACTGGTGTCACCTGTGCTCCCAGGTGACTCACCTGGGGTTCCTCCTTCATCCAGTGGATGGTCACTCTGTCCCCTGAAGAGGCTAACTGGTCAATGGTGACAAAGTGAACAAAGTGGAATAAGTCCTGGGGGGTTTTCTGCTCATGGAGAATGTCAAATTCTGTAACTATATCTCCATTGGCATCAAAAACGATCTCTTTCTCACTGGGGGTCTTGAAATGCATCTTCCTGAGGTGATGCAGAATCTGAAGGAAGGAAGGATGATGTTATTGCTGGACTGGGGTGCCCCTGGGGTCTGTCCAAAATGGCCTATGGCACAGGAGACTCAGGGCCTATGAAAATGAACACTTTCAGGGGCCCATGAAAATATTTTTTAACTTCTTTTAAAACCAGAAGAAAAAAATGAATGAAGTAATACATATGAAGATATGATAACGAATCCAGCTAGGATTATATCCATTTTGTGCCAAGACAGTGGTGAAGTAGAACTTTAATTTTTTTTTTAATGGAAAAAGGGATGCCCAGTTAAATCTGAATTTCAAATAAATGAAATTTTTAAAAAGTATACATATAGCCTATGCAATGCTTGAGATATTCTTATAATAAAACATTATTTGTAGTTTATTTGAAATTAAAATTTGGGACACATGTACTAAAAAAGTTTTCACTATTTATTTGATCAGTGCTCGGGAAATATGGTCTTGGTGTTAGAAACGATGCTGGAGACCAAATGACATAATTTTGCAAGGCCAATGACTTCGTCATTGCAAATACGTTTTTTTCAACAACATAAACGGTGACTATACATGTGGACTTTGCCAGATGGAATACACAGGAATCAAATCACATACATCTGTGGAAAAAGAGACAATGGGAAAGCTCAATATTACCAATCAGAACAAGGCAAGGTGCCAACTGTGGAACAGATCAGCAATTACTCAAATGCAAGTCCAAGTAGAAGCTGAAGAAAATCAGAACAAGTACATGAGAATCAAAATACAACACTGAGTATATCCCACCTGAATTTAGAGACCATCTTATGAATAAATTTGATGTATTGAACACTAATGACCGAAGACCAGACGAGTTGTGGAATGACATCAGGGACTTCATATATGAAGAAAGCAAGAGGTCATTAAAAAGACAAAAAAGAAAGAAAAGACCAAAACTGATGTCATAAGAGACTCTGAAACTTGCTCTTGAAAGTTGAGTAGCGAAAGGAAGAAATGATGACGTAAAAGAGCTGAACAGAAGATTTCAAAGGGCAACTACAGACGACAAAGTAAAGTATTATAATGACATGTGCAAAGACCTGGCGTTAGAAAACCAAAAGGGAAGAACACAGTTAGCATTTTCAAGCTGAAAGAACTGAAAAAAAAAATTCAAGCCTTGCATTGCAATATTGAAGGATTCTATGGGGAAATTATTAAACGACCCATGAAGCATCAAAAGAAGACAGAAGGAATACACAGAGTCACTGTACCAAAAAGAATTGGCCAACTTTCAACCATTTCAAGAGGTTGCATATGATCAAGAAACCATGGTACTGAAGGAAGAAATCCAAGCTGCACTGAAGTCATTGGAGAAAGACAAGGCTCCAGGAATTAATGGAATACGAATTGAGATGTTTCAACAAACGGGTGCAGCCATGACGCGGAAATTATAAAACAATATCATTAATATCACATACAAGTAAAATTTTGCTGAAGATAATTCAAAAGCAGTTACAGTAGAAAATCGACAGGGAACTGCCAGAAATTCAAGCTGGATTCAGAAGAGGACGTGGAACTAGCCATATCAATGACGATGTCAGATGAATCCTGGTTGAAAGCAGAGGATACCAGAAAGATGTTTACCTGTGTTTTATTGACTATGCAAAGACATTCTACTGTGTGGATCATAACAAATTATGGAAAACATTGTGAAGAATGGGAATTCCAGAATACTTAAGTGTGCTCATGTGGAACCTGTAGACCAAGAGGCAGTCGTTCAAACAGAACAAGGAAAGTCAGAGTTGAATCCTTTCACCATACATATTCAGTCTGTATGCTGAGCAAAGCAAATAATCTGAGAAACTTTGACTATATGAAGAAGAACAGGGCATCAGGATCGGAAGAAGACTCATTAACAACCTGGGATATGCAGATAACACAACCTAGGTTGCTGAAAGTGAAGAGGACTTGAAGCACTTACTAATGAAGATTAAAGACTACAGCCTTCAGTATGGATTGCACCTCAACACAAAGAAAACAGAAATCTTCACAACTGGACCAATAAACAGTATCATGATAAACGGAGAAAAGATTGAAGTTGTCAAGGATTTTGTTTTACTTGGATCCACAATCAATGCCCATGGAAGCAACCAGACAACACACTGCATTGGCAAATCTGCTGCAAAAGACCTCTTTAAAATGTTAAAAAACAAAGACGTCACTTTAAGGACTAAGGTGCACCTGACTCAAGCCATGGTATTTTCAATCGCCTCACATGCATGTGAAAGGTGGACAAAGAATAACGAAGACCAAAGAAGAATCGATGCCTTTGAATTATGGTGTTGGCAAAGAATAATGAATATACCATGGACCGCCAGAAGAGCGAACAAATCGGTCTTGGAAGAAGTACAGCCAGAATGCTCCTTAGAAGCAAGGATGGTGAGACTTTGGACATGTTATCAGGAGGGACCAGTCCCTGGAGAAGGACATTATGCCCTGGTGGTGTAGTGGTTAAGAGTTCAGCAGCCAACCAAAAGCTCAGCATTTCACATCCACCAGATGCTCCTTGGAAACCCTACGGGGCAGTTCTACTCTGTCCTATACGGTTGCTATGAGTTGCAACCAACTCGATGGCACCTAACAGCAACAACAAAGTAGAGGGTCAGTGAAAAAGAGGAAGAACCTCAACAAGATAGATTGACACAGTGGCTGCAACAATGGGCTCAAGCATAACAAAAATTGTGACGATGGCACAGGACCAGGCGTTGTTTCGTTCTGTTGTACATAGGATCGCTATTAATCAGAAGCAACTCACCGGCACCCAACAACAACAACATTTATTTGAAATTTGTCATGGATTGAGTTGTGCCCCCCCAAAAATGTGTGTATCAATTTGGCTAGGTCATGATTCCCAGTATTGTGTGGTTATTACCATTTTGTGATCTGATTAGATTTCCTTATATGCTGTAAACTCTATCACTATGATCTAATAAGAGGGATTAGCAGCAGTTATACTGATGAGTTTTACAAGATTAGATAGTGTCTAAAGCCAATCTCTTTGGAGATATAAAGGAGAGGAGTGAGCAGAGACACACGGGAACCTCATACCACCAAGAAAGCAGTGCTGGGAGCAGAGCACGTCCTTTGGACCTGAGGTTCCTGCACAGAGAACCTCCTAGACCAAGGGAAGATTGATGACATGAACCTCCCTCCAGAGCCGACAAAGAAAGTGTTCCCTTAGAGCTGATGCCCTGAGTTTGGACTTGTAGCCTACTGGACTGTGAGAGAATAAACTTCTCTTTGTTAAAGCCATCCACTTGTGGTATTTCTGTTAGAGCAGCACTAGATGACTAAGACAAAATTCAAATTTGTGATATACTTATACTAAAAATTTAAGGAGCCTTGGCAGTGGTTAAAGTGATTGGTAACCAAAAATTGGTAGTTTGAAACCACCAGTGGCTCCAAGGGAAAAAGATATGGCAGTCAGCTTCCGTAGAGATTTACAGCTTAGGAAACTCTATGGGGCCCTTATGAGTCAGAAATGACTCAACGGCAGTGGGTTATATTAAAAAATTATTCACTGTTTATCTGAAATTCAAATTTATGGCAAAGGTATTAAAAACGTATTTGTTGCTTATCTGAAATTCGAATTTTACTGGTCATTCTGTCTTTGTTAAATCAAATAACTGTATGCGGAGGTGACTTGTCTGAGGTCTTAAAGTTAGAGCTGACTCCTCCAGTGCTCTTTCTAAGATGCCTCTCAACTGTAAACATAAAGCATTCTGGATGAAGAACCCTATCTGTGTTCTACCTCTGTGGCTGGTACACAGCGAGTGACCACTCTCTGCTCTTCCCCGAATCATGCACACATTTCCCTCTCACCTGCCATGGCTGAAAGTGTTGAGTTCTGCACACTGCCCATTGTCATGTTCACAGGTGACCAGGTCCTGCAGAGCGTGGGCAACACTGTAGACCACTGTGTATGCAAGCTGCAAGTCACTCACATTCTGGAAAGGGTACTCTTGGCCTCTTAGGCTCTCATTCCCTGAGCAGAACTGGATCCCTCCTGCAGATGTGCTGGTCCCCGCTGGCCCTGATCTCCTGCTGGGCCACTTGCATCCAAAGATGACCTCCCAAAACCTCTGGGTGAACATGTCTTGTGGGGTCCAGGTAGGGTGCAGGCAAGCAACGAATTCCAGGAAGCCGGGGACCTGACTGTGGTGTGGTGGCACAAGGCTGAAGAAGCCCTGTAGGACCTGGGAGATACGTGGGATGGCCAGGGCCAGAATGCTGTGCAGCGTGTCCTGGCTGACACACACCCGGCCCAAGACCCTGCTGCCCAGCAGCCCCCGCAGAACAAGGTGGAAATTTTGATTGCTCAGGAAGACCAGAATGACCTTTGCAGTGCAGACTTTTCACCTGTGGACGATGGCGTGGGTCTTCTCCAGGGACTCTTGGGAGGGGACTTGGAGGTTGAACTCAATACAGACACTGGCCTGAACCAGCTTTCAGGTCACCAGTGTGCTGCCCTGCTGGCCATAGTCGTTATCCTGGCCAGAATGCCTACCCAGGACCATCTGAAGTGGATCACCAGCTGGGCCACCATGTGGGAGGATGTGAGGTCACTGGACATGGTCCACATGAAGGATGGGAACTGGGTTTTGTCACTGAGGCTGGCCAGAGTGGACTTGTAGCTGACCTGGGCAGGAAGGGGCCCAGGCATTAAGGATAAGAACTGAGTATGAGGATGGACCCTAGAATGGAAGCTGAGTCACGGGTTGATTGTCAGGTTTAAATGAGAGAACGAAGGTAGCTTGAATAGAGCTAGGGCACAATTCATCCTACTTTGTCTGGAACTTTGCTTGCTTTATAAAGCACTGAAAGTACCGAATCCCAAGAATACCCTCAGTCCTGGGCAACGAGGATGATTGGTCCCTGTTATGGATTGAATTTTGTCCCCCCAAATATGTGTTGTAATTCCTAACCTCTATGCTTGTGGTGCAGCCCTGGTGGCACAGTGGTTAAGAGCTTGGCTGCTAACCAAAAGGTCGGCAGTTTGAATCCACCAGCTATTCCTTGGAAATCCTATGGGGCAGTTCTATTCTGTCCTATAGGGTCACTGTGAGTTGGAATCAACTGGATGGCAACGGGTTTGGTTTTGGTTTTTTATGCCTGTTGTTATAATCTCATTTGGTACTGAGTAATGTTTACGTTAATGAGGCAGGATTAGAGTAGGGTGTATCTCTAGTCAATCTTTTGAGATATAAAAGAGATTAAACAAGCACGTAAAAAGTAGTGATGGGTAAAGACAGATGCCAAGTCACATGAAGATTGCCCAGGAACAGAAGCTCAGAAAAGACAAGGATCTTCCTCCAGAGCTGACAGGGAGAGAAAGGCTTCTGCTAGAGCCAGCACCCTGAAGTCGGACTTCTAGCCTCCTATACTGTGAGAAAATACATTTCTGTTTGTTAAAGCCATCCGTTTGTGCTATTTCTGTTACAGCAGCACTAGATGACTAAGACAGTCACCCTACTGGAGCAGAACCTGATACATGATAACCTCTCAAGAAACATTAGCGGTTGCTGTTATATTGCCAGCTCCCCTAGTGGTGCGAACAGTTTGTGCTTGACTGCTAACCTAAAGGTTGGCAGTTTGAACCCACCCAGCAGTGCCTCAAAAGAAAGTCCTGGTGATCTGCTTTTGTAAAGATTATAGCCAAGAAAACATTATGGAGAAGTTCTACTCTAACACATCGGGTTGCCATGAGTCAGAATTGACTAGACAACAATAGAGTTAGTTTGATTTTTTTTTTTTGTTACATTGCATAGTCCAAAGAGTCTTTGCCATCCCTGAATGGTGCAAATGGTTAAGCACTGAACTACTAATCCAAAGGTTGGCAGTTCAAACCCACCTACAGGCTCCTCAGAAAGCCTGATGATCTGCTTTCAAAAGGTTACAGCCTTGAAAAACTTATGGAGTACTTCTACCTTGCACATATGGGGTCGCCATGAGTTGGAGTCAACTGAACCATAACTAATAAAACCACTAAATTGCTTCCAAAGTTAATGTGCTTATAGATCCCCTGGGACATTTTTGAAGTGCTGATGCTGATTCAGGAGGTCGTTGGTGTGGCCCCAGAGTCTGCGTTTCTAACCTGCTCCCAGATAACACCTATACTGCTGGACCTTGGTCTGCAGTTTGATTAATGAGGTTCTACCCCACTAAGATACAATGGAATCATGTAAGTAATATTAAAAAATACTGATGTTTTAACCAACTTCACCATCCTTCTGTTCCCTCACTAATGAGACTGATAAGTCTTTGGCACTTGTGCATTCTATCTTTGTATGAAATTATATTTTTGAAAATGCTCTGACAGGTATGGAGGTTCCATCAAGATGCCCAGCTGGACTCACTTGCTCTTGTGCACGTCACAGGCCAGTTAAGCCCCAAACCAATCCATCTGTAAAATAGAGATGATCAAACATCTGCTTCATAGGATCCTTGTAAGAATCTGATGAGCTTATGGATATACTGTGCTTAGAGCAATGCTCAGCTTGCAGAAAAGAGCCAAGGAGTGTAAGCTGTTACTGCTTTCCCTTGTGACAAAGAGCCGAGAGTTCAGACCCAGAAACAAAGAATATAGCTCCAATTTCACAGCCTAGCTTTGTGCTCATTGCACTTATTCTAATGTTTTCTTGTATGTGTGGTGGGTGATAATCAATGGCCCATTTACCACTCAGACATAATGCTTCCTTTGTAAAAATATAACTTTAAGTTTAAAAAGAAATGGAGTTTAATAGAAACTCTCATGCATTGGAACCCTTATATACATGCTGGCGGGAATGTAAATGGTGCAGCTGATTTTAAAAACATCTGGGAGTACTTCAAAAGGTAAAACATACAGTTACCATGTGACCTGGCAATTTCACTGCTAGACACATACCCAAGAGAAAAGAAAGTGTATGTTCAAAAAAAACTTGAACATGAATGTTCATGGTAGCATTATTCATAATAGCCCAAACTTGGAAAAAACCTAAGTGTCAATCAGGCTATGAATGTATACATAAAATGTAGTGTATCCATACAATGAAATATTATTTGGCAATAAAAAGAAATGTAGTACTGACACATATTACAACACAGATGAACCTTGAACACGTTATGCCAAGTGAAGGATGCCAGACACTAAAGGCCACATACTGTATTATTCCACTGATATAAAATGTTCAAAACAGGCAAATTCATATAGACTGAAAGTAGATTAGTAGTTTGCCAGGAGTTGTGAGGGGTGGGAAGACTGGGGCATGACAGCTAATGGGCACAGGTTTCCTTTTTAGGGTGATGAAAATACTGGAATTAGATTGTACTGGAAATTCTGGAATTAGATAGTAGTTATGGTTGCACAACTCTGTGAATATACTAAAAAACCACTAAGCTCTATACTTTCACAGGGTGAATTATATGACATGTGAACTATATTTCAATAAAGCTCTTAAAAACAGGAGGAACACAAGGAGAAAAGTTAGCGCTTGGACAGACAACCATCACGGGAATGACCCCAAAGACCTGAACTTTGGGAAACACTTCGGGGTGGAGTGAGGCTGGTTGGCCTTGAGCCTGACTGCCTGAGTTGACATCCAGGCTCCAGCCCCTCCTGGCCTAGTGAGCTTGAACCTGCCATTCATTTTCTCTAAACATGTTTCCTCGTCGTTGCAAAGGGGATTATAGTTCCCTCACCACAAGCCATGGCAAAGAGTAAGAATATTGTCAGGCATGCAAAGTATTACCAGGGAACCTGGCTCCGTGGAAGCAGGGTGTCAATATCACAATCATTGGTAACATTACCATAATTCTTGTTAGTGAAGGGAAAAGGCTTTGGCAAAGGAGACTCACCTGGGGGAATTTGTAGAGCCCCAGAAACCAGGCCAGGGGGATGGACAGGGTGGACTCTGTGTCTACTATCAGGGCAGCTTGGGGAGGACTGGCTTGACGCATGTAGTTGGGGGTGGGTTCCTCCTGGCCTGTGAGGAAGACCATGGCCTCATAGAGGGCTCTGGACAGCCAGTCCCTGGAGTCCGAGATGGAGAAGCCCAGTGTGTGGTTGGGAAGCAGGTGGGAGTCCCTGTTGATCTCCTTGATGGCAACGACAAGTCCTGGGCCACCTGGTAGCCCTACATGTTAAGGCTGAGGGAAAGAGAAGTCCATGTTCAGCATTTGCTACTGGTGCAGAAGGCGATAAATGTGAAATCTTCTCTTCCTTTTCCAGATTCACTGGTGTTATGGATTGAATTTTGTCCCCCCAAAATGTATGTCAACTTGGTTTGGCCATGATTCCCAGTACTGAGTGATTGTCCACCATTTTGTCATCTGTTGTGATTTTCCTATGTGTTGTAAACCCTGCATCTATGAAGTTAATAAGGCAGTATTAGAGGCAGTTATGTTAATAAGGCAGGACTCTGTATACAAGATTAGGTTGTATCTTGAGTCAATCTGTTTTGAGATATAAAAGAGAGAAGTGAGCAGAAAGACAGGGGGACCTCATATCACCAAAAAAGTAATGCCAGGAGCAGATTGCATCCTTTGGACGCAGGGTCCCTGCACTGAGAAACTCCTAGACCAGGACATGGATCTTCCTCCAGAGTCGACAAAGAAAGCCTTCCCCTGGAGCTGGTGTCCTGAATTCGGACTTCTAGCCTACTAGACTGTGAGAGAATAAACTTGTTTGCTAAAGCCATCTACTGGTGGTATTTCTGTTACAGCAGCACTAGACAACTAAGACAACAGAAACTAGGGCTTGGACGAATGCACCTTGATGGCCCAATGGTTAAGCACTCAACTGCTAATAAAAAAATTGACAGAACCCATCCTGTGGATCCTCAGAAGAAAGACCTGGTGATCTGCTCCAGTAAAGTTCAAAGCCTAGAAAACCTTATGGGGCAGTTTTATTCTGTCACTTGGGATTGCTATGACTTGAAATAGACTGTATGACACATAAAAACAATGGCTTAGACAAATTTACAAAGGCACCTCACACACAATAACCCTGTCTCTTCTGCCCTTCTTCAAATATACAGAACATTTCTACTGACACTCAGGTTTAATCTGTGTATGCGCTCTAACGTTCTAAGTTGACTGTGTTTTTTTGATAAACTTAAGTTTTAACTGCTCTATATATCTTACCTTTGCCTGACTCAATAGAATGATAAAATGAATGACCAGCTTCAACTTCAAAGTAAAAAGAGAAAAAACATGCTTTTTCTGTTTTATTTTCCCCTATTTTCTGTTATCATGATAAATTCCTGCCTGTCTTTTTGGGGGAGCACTTTTCTTAGTTACAAGCAAGGTGCTGCCCATCCGTAGACCCACGAATCAAATAAAATTTCAAATTATAACAGTGCACAGATTTTCTTTCTTTGACAGAAGAGAACAGAACTTTATCCGTGATTCCTAGGCATATATCAAGAGGAATGAAGACATATGTCTACAGAAACTTGTACTCAAATGTTCATACCAGCATTATTCATAATCTCCAGAAAAGACTATGTCAGTACTCCTGTCTGCAAAGATTATTGGGAAACCCAGTACAGAAAAGGGTGCTGTGAGCAAACAGGCGATGGGCGGAAGGGAACCCAAGCGTTGATTAGTTCGTGAAGAGATTTGTTCACTCAATAAACATCTATTGGATGACTATTGTGTGCCTGGTTCTCTTCTAGGCCTTGAAGGTCTAGCAGTGAAAAAGAGGGAAGAGCATTCTGGATCTACAGGGTGGGGACAACACTGGTAACAATTAATTAATCCATGTTTAGACAGAGACAAATACAAGCAAGAAAATAAAGACCAGGAGACAAGGTGAGGTAGGTACTGAAAGATAGACAAATGAGCATTCAGACAAACAGAACAAACCCTGACCATGCAGTTGGTATTCCGAGAATCAGTAAGTGTCTGAGGTTTTAGAGAAACACCTCTGAAGGTACTCTTAGCCTTCAGAGACTCCCAGCCAACCATCCCAGCAGCCACTTACTTGAAAGATGCCAAGCCAGCCAGCGGAGAAGTAAATTTGAGCAGAGTGGTTCCAACAAAGTAGAAGATGGCAAAACTGCCTCTGACTACCAGGTCCCCAGGCTGTTCAAAGTGAGGCCTCTTCCCTGTTGATCCCCAGCTTGTTAGCTTAGAAAGTGAGGCTCCAGAGAGGGACCCCATGAGGGCAAGGAGCAGGGAGCAGAGCCTCATGCCTGAGAAGGTGGCTGAGTAGCACCCACAGGGGGGCACCTACAGTCCCCATGTTTGTCATGCTTCAAGATGACAGAGCTTTTATCTGGGAGTTCACCCTTCACTCCTAAGCCTGGGACCAGGGATACATCTGGACCCTACCCAGCCTCAGAGGAGACTCAGGCATCCAGACCTTGGAGAGAACAGGGGAGCTTGGATCAGGACTGGGCAGCTACTAAATCCCAGGGCCATTAAAAGTTTCATCTCCTGGAGTCAGGGCCAAGATGGTGGAGTAGTCAGACGTTTCCAGTGTTCCCTCTTAAAACAAAGACCTTAAAAAACAAGTGAATCAATTATATATAACAATCTAGGAGCCCTGAACATCAAAGGCAAAGTTGATGAACCAGACTGAGTAGCAGAGGGAGGGAGAGACGGTTTGGAAGCAGCGAGGAGTTGCCAGACCTGACCTAACGAGAGCCTGAGCCCTTCAGCTGGGATCAACTCGGGGGTGAGCAGTGAGGGAGGCAAGCAGCAGCACTCAAGAGGTGTTTTCCACACTGGGAGGGACCCAGCAGCAGAAAGTCTACTCGGCCATCCAGAACCAGTGAGAAACAGCCCTCAATAGGTGAAAGACTAGTACTTGTGTCTGGCCTAGCGTGCAGATCAAAAACACCCCCCTTAGGGAAAACCTCTCTCCCATTTACCTCCTCGCTCCCTGCTCTGCACTGGGTCCCGGACAGGCTTCAGCAATTGCCGAGTCCCCTGGGCCAGAAGTAGGACCCATCACATGCCCTGAGCCATTCTCCCTGCTTTGGAGAGTGAACAAATTAACAAACAGGGAAAAAATAATCTGCTGGCTCCCCTAAGCCAGGAACTCAGGGTAGGCACAACTCCTTTGCCTAGGCACAGGCATAAGGGATCCACAGACTTTGAGTGCCTTTCCCCCTGCACAGGCTTGTGTGGGCACATTTCAACAGCGTAGGCCCTCATTACTGCAGTACAACAGGGTATATACCTGAAGTCTAACTTCAGCTGTTTCAGCTGTGAAGTGGTAGGTTCATGACATTTGACACTGCTCTGCCCATTAAGCAGGATCTTCACCTACCCACATCAGGGGTCTGAGGACTGGTGGCTCCATCCATGCCATCTAGCCACCTGCAACAAGGGACCAAGAACAAGAGGTGCCCCCAGTCCTTACAGCCAACAGCATTGGGTGCTCATAGTCTGGCTGCTAACCCTCCCATCTATGTGCTCTAGGGAACAGGGACATGCTTTCCTCCTACACACTTGGGGGTGGCCATCAGCCCCCTCTCTTGCTAAGCCTGTGTCCCCCTGCTGCAGCTGGATGCCTGTGCCTACACCAATCACCCATGCCTGTCTAGAATTGTAAGTGAGAGCCTGCACCACATACTCGGTGGCCGACTACCTGGACACCTGAGCTGAATCCATACAGGAGGAGTAGGCAGACTCCTGGGCTTACATACTTACTGGCAGTTGTGGCCACCTGGGGGCAGGACATTGGAGCTTCAAGGGTGCTGGTGACTGGGCTAGCTCACACAAGCAGCCTATTTGGGCATATCAAAACAAAACAAAGCTAGGACACACTAACAAAACATAAAATAAATAAATATAATAACTTATTGATGGCTCGGAGACAACAGTCAATATCAAATCTCATAAAGAGGCAGTCCATGATGGCTTCAGCAAGCTGCCAAAATAAAGAATCTAGAAATTTTCCAGAGGAAAAAAATTTCTTGGAATTACCGGAGATAGAATACAAAAGATTAATATACAGAACTCTTCAAGAGATTAGGAAGGAAATTATGCAAAACACAGAACAAGTAATGGAGGAAATTAAGAAGATTAGAGAAGAGCATAATGATAAATTTAACAGGCTGCAAGAATCCATAGAGAGACAGCAATCAGAAATCCAGAAAATTAACAATAAAATTTCAGAATTAGACAACTCAATAGAAAGTCATAAGAGCAGAACTGAGGCAATCGAAGTCAGAATTAGTGAGATTGAAGATAAAGCACTTGACACCAATTTATTTGAGGAAAAATCAGATAAAAGGGTTAAAAAATGAAGAAAACCTAAGAATTACGTGGGATTCTATTAAGAGGAATAATCTATGAGTGATTGGAGTACCAAAACGGGGTGGGGGGGGATAACAGAAAATACAGGGAGAAGTGTTGAAGATTTGTTGGCAGAAAACTTGCCTGATACCATGAAAGATGACAAGATATCTATCCAAGATGCTCATCAAACCCCAAAAGAAAGTCACCAAGACATATTATAATCAAACTTGCCAAAACCAAAGACAAAGAGAGAATTTTAAGAGCAGCCAGGGATAAACAAAAAGTCATCTATGAAGGAGAGTCATAAGAATAAGCTCCGACTACTCAGCAGAAACCATGCAGGCAAGAAGGCAATGGGATGATATAAAGCCTTGAAGGAAAAAAAAAAACCTGCCAGCCAAGAATTACGTATCCAGCAAAACTGTCTCTCAAATATGATGGTAAAATTAGGACATTTCCAGATAAACAGAAGTTTAGGGAATTTGCAAAAACCAAACCAAAATGACAAGAAATACTAAAGGGTGTCCACCAGTTAGAAAATCAATAACATCAGATAACAACCCAAGACTAGAATAGAGGACGGAGCAACCAGATATCAACCAGATAGGGAAGTCACAAAAATAAATCAAAGCTAAAACATTGAAAATAGGTAAACAGAGATATCAATATGTAAAAGATGACAATATTAAAACAAAAAAGAGGGACTTAAAAAATGTAGTCGTAGATTTTTTCATATGGAGAGGAAGTCAAGGTGATATAAAGAAATAAAAGACTGGTATAAACTTAGAAAAATAGGGGTAAATATTAAGGTAACCACAAAGGAAACTAACAATCCTACAAGTCAAAGTAAAAAAACAAGAAAAATATAAACACTCAGCAAATACAAAATCAACAACGACGGAAAAGATGAAAATACATAAAGAAAAACGACTCAGCACAGAAAATTAAGTGGAACAAAGAAACTGTGAACAACACACAAAAAAACACATCAAAATGACAGCGCTGAACTCATACCTATCAATAATTATGCTGAATGTAAATGGACTAAATGCACCAATAAAGAGGCAGAGAGTGGCAGATTGGATTAAAAAAACATGGTCCGTCTATATGCTGCCTACAAAAGACACACCTTACACTTAAAAACACAAACAAACTAAAACTCAAAGGATGGAAAAAAATATATCAAGCAAACAACACTCAAAAAAGAGCAGGAGTGTCAATATTAATCTCTGACAAGATAGACTTTAAAGTAAAATCCACCACAAAGGATAAGGAAGACACTATATGTTGATTAAAGGGTCAGTACATCAGGAGGACACAACTATAATAAATATTCATGCACCCAACTACAGGGCTCCAAAATACATAAAACAAACTAACAGCACTGAAAAGAGAAATAGACAGCTCCACAACAGTAGTAGGAGACTTCAACACACCAGTTTTGGTGAAGGACAGAACATCCAGGAAGAAGCTCAAAAAAGACATGGAAGATCTAAATTCTACAATCAACCAACTTGATCTCATAGACATATAGCGAACACTCCACCCAACAGCAGCCAAATATACTTTCTTTTCCAACGCACATGGAACATTCTCCAGAATAGATCACATATTAGGCCATAAAGCAAGCCATAACAAAATCCAAAGCATCAAAATATTACAAAGCATCTTTAGTGACCATAAAGCCATAAAAGTAGAAATCAATAACAGAACAAGTAAGGAAAAAAATCAAACACACGGAAACTGAACAACACCTTGCTCAAAAACTACTGGGTTATAGAAGAAATTAACGATGGAATAAAAAAATTCATAGAATCAAAGGAGAACAAAAACACATCCTACCAGTATCTTTGGGACACAGCAAAAGCAGTACTCATATGTCAGTTTATAGCAATAAATGCACACATACAAAAAGAAGAAAGGGACAAAATCAAAACATTAACTCTACAACTCAAACAAGTAGAAAGAGAGCAGCAGAACAAGCCCTCGGGCACCAGAAGAAAGGAAATAATAAGAATTAGAGCAGAATTAAATGAAATAGAGAATAGAAAAACAATTAAAAGAGTTAACAAGACCAAAAGCTGGTTCTTTGAAAAGATCAACAAAATTGATAAACCCTTGGCCAAACTGACAAAAGTCAAACAGGAAAGGAAGCAAATAACCCATGTAAGAAATGAGATGGGTGATATCACAACAGATCCAACTGAAATTAAAAGAATCATAACAGAATATTATGAAAAATTGTACCTTAACAAATTTGAAAACCTAGAGGAAACAAATTTCTAGAAACTCACTACCTACCTAAACTAACACAAACAGAGGTAGAACAACTAGATAAACCCATAACAAAAGAAGAGATTGAAAAGGTAATTTAAAAACTCCCCCCACAAAAGCCCTGGCCTGGACGGCTTCACTGGAGAATTCTACCAAACTTTCAGAAAAGAGTTAACACCACTACTACTAAAGGTATTTCAGAGCACAGAAACTGATGGAATACTCTGAAACTCATTTTATGAAGCCAGCATAATCCTGATACCAAACCAGGAAAAGACACCACAAAAAAGAAAATTGCAGACCAATATCCCTCATGAACATTGACGCAAAAATCCTCAACAAAATTGTAGCCAATAGAATTCAGCAACACATCAAAAAATAATTCACCATGATCAAGTGGGATTTATACCAGGTATGCAGGGATGGTTCAACATTAGAAAAACAATCAATGTAATCCATCACATAAATAAAACAAAAGACAAAAACCACATGATCTTATCAATCCATGCAGAAAAGGCATTTGACAAAGTCCAACACCCATTCATGATAAAAACTGTCAGCAAATAGGAATAGAAGGGAAATTCCTCAACATAAGTAAGGGCATTTATACAAAGCCAACGGCCAACATCATCCTAAATGGAAAGAGTTTGAAAGTATTCCCCTTGAGAATGGGAACCAGACGAGGCTGCCCTTTATCACCACTCTTATTCAACATTGTGCTGGAGGTCCTAGCCAGAGCAATTAGGATAGAAAAAGAAATAAAGGGCATCCAAATAGGTAAGGAAGAAGTAAAAGTAACTCTATTTGCAGATGATATGATCTTATACACAGAAAACTCCGAAGAATCCACAAGAAAACTACTGGAACTAATAGAAGGTTTCAGCAAAGTATCAGGATACAAGATAAACATACAAAAATCAGTTGGGTTCCTTTACACTAACAGAGAGAACTTCGAAGAGGAAATCACTAAATCAATACCATTTACAATAGCCCCCAAGAAGATAAAATACTTAGGAGTAAATCTAACCAGAAACGTAAAAGACCTATACAATGAAAACTACAAGACACTACTGCAAGAAACCAAAAAAGACCTACATAAGTGGAAAAACATAACCTTGCTCATGGGTAGGAAGACTCAACATTGTGAAAATGTCAATTCTACCCAAAGCAATCTGCAGATACAATGCAATCCCGATCCAAATTCCAATGGCATTTTTTAAAACTATTTCTTTTTTTTTGTTATTGTACTTTAGGTGAAGGTTTACAGAACAAATAGTTTCTCATCAGTCAGTGCACATATTGTTTTATGACATTGGTTAACAACCCCATGAGATGTCAACAATCTCCCTTCTGACCTTGGAGGACCTTTTTTTTCTTTCTGTGAAAATATACATAGCCAAAGATACACCATTTAAAAAATTTCTACATGTACAATTCAGTGACATCAATTAAGTTGTGCCACTATTCTCACTTTAGATGAAGGTTTACAGAACAAAATAGTTTCTCATTAAACAGTACACATATTGCCCTATGATAATGGTTAACAACCCCATGACATGTCAACACTTTCCCTTCTCAACCTTGGGTTCCCTATCACCAGCTTTCCTGCCCCCTCCTGCCTTCTAGTCCTTGTCCCTGGATTGCTGTGCCGCATTAGTACCATTTTGTTTTATAAGGCTGTCCAATCCCTGGCTGAACGGTGAACTTTGGGAGTGACTTCACCACTGAGCTAAAAGTGTGTCTGGGGGCCATACTCTCGGGGTTTCTCCAGTCTCTGTCGGGCCAGTAAATCTGGTCTTTTTTTCGTGTTAGAATTTTATTCTACATCCTTCTCCAGCTCTGTTCAGAACCCTCTGTTGTGATCCCGGTCAGAGCAGTCAGTGGTGGTAGCCAGGCACCACCTAGCTGTACTGGACTCAGTCTGGTGGAGGCCTTGGTAGCTGTGGTCCGTCAGTCCTTTGGACTAGCCTTTTCCTTGT